CMRGRRGGRWTYCAMMMCYYCCCYKSCYKGGGAAGGAGGTCCRGGGGTGGCAGTGCCCAGCTCCGCGTTGTGGGGACCGCCCCCCCGTCCGTGCCCCCGCTCTGCGGGGAGGAGCCGCARAAGCTTAATGGCCCTTGATGGATTTTTCTTCCTGGAACTCGCGGCGGGGATTTTTGTGTTGGGTTTTTTGTTTTTTTTTTTCCCCCTCCTGCTTTATTTTTTTCTTTCTGCCCTCCTGTAAACACAGCGTGGAGCTGGAAGGGGCGGGATTTGGGGGGAAACACGCAGCTTGGGGGGCTTTTAGGGGAGGGCTGGCACCTGGATTTCCTCCCTTTCCTGAGGGTTTGGGATGAGCATCCTTCACCAGCGGGGACACAGTGCCCTGGAACCCTGCCCRGAATGATGGGGGGAGCAACACTGGGAATCTCCCCCCACCCCACACAGCCCCATGGAGCCGGGGGATCCCATGGAGCACCTTCCCACCCCATGGAGCCCCTTCCCACCCCATGGAGCATCTTCCCAGCCCACAGAGCATCTTCCCACCCCATGGAACACCTTCCCACCCCATGGAGTGCCTTCCCACCCCATGGAGCATCTTCCCACCCCATGAAACACCTTCCCAGCCCCACGGAGCACCTTCCCACCCCATGGAACATCTTCCCATTCCATGGGGCATCTTCCCACCCCATGGAACATCTTCCCACCCCATGGAACACCTTCCCACCCCATGGAACACCTTCCCACCCCATGGAGCGCCTTCCCACCCCATGGAGCATCTTCCCACCCCATGAAACACCTTCCCAGCCCCACGGAGCATCTTCCCACCCCATGGGGCATCTTCCCACCCCATGGAACACCTTCCCACCCCATGGAGCATCTTCCCACCCCATGGAACACCTTCCCACCCCATGGAGCATCTTCCCACCCCACGCAGCCGGAATGCCCGACTTTCCCCCCCCCTCCGGGTTTCGGGGGGCTGTCCCTTCCATCCCCCCGTGTCCCCCGTGTCCCCGGTGGGTTGGGCGGTGCCCCGGGGGGGGATGCCGCAGCCGCTGACGTCACGGCGCTCAGCCAATGGGCGCGGGCCGTGCTG